TATTGGTCTGTTCCTTGACTTACTTGAACAGGCATTCTATTGGTCTGTTCCTTGACTTACTTGAACAGGCATTCTATTGGTCTGTTCCTTGACTTACTTAAACAGACATTCTATTGGTCTGTTCCTTGACTTACTTGAACAGACACCTCATCCTGTTTACTGGACAGACTAAGAACATTGACACATCTGGCAAACGCCTCCTGTAGCACCTGTGGACAGAAAGTTGAGTTAAGGGTGTATGCTACCTTAAACATTCACCTGATATATCACCCCCTTTTTGTCTCCCTTTTAACCTGATATATCACCCCTTTTTGTCTCGCTTTAACCTTATATATCCCCCTGTTGTCTCCTTTTAAAAGTGTTTAATTAGCATGGCATAATTACATCAATCGTTTGTTTAGATTACTGTTATACAATATAGCTTACTTTGTCTCTCTTTAAAACGGATATGGAAATAAGTCATTGAAAAAATTTGTATACATTCAGTCTTAGTCAAAAGAACTCTTTGTGTACCTGTATTCCATGTTCCCTGCGTAGTTCCTCAGCATTAAGAGCCGAACATTTAACTGTGTGATAAGCTAGCTCTGTTGCCGCTGACAACAGAGGGGCGGACTTGGAGAAGAGGGAATCGTCGTTTGTCTCCATACGGATGGTTTTGATCAGCATTGGATATCCAGCATACTTGTATGGTTCCAGGTCTAACAAAGAATTCAAACACTTTCCATATCTCATGTAGGACTCTGAAGTATCACTAACAGATTTTTTAAAGAACTTCTCTTCTTTTCCTAGCTGTTTCATCAACAGTAATCCTATTCTTTAGAAATTCTACTTCCAACAGTTTCCTTGTACATTACTCTAGAACTACATGAATACAGAAACCTTATAACACAAAGGAAAAATAGAACAAATATCTTTCTGGAAACAAAATTACTCATAATTTTGAAGGTTTCACCATTTTATATACATGGGGCCACTTGTTATAATGGTCGGTGGGGTCTGAAAGAAAGGTTACTGTCAACAACTTATATAATACGCCTCTAAAACATAATTGCTATTGGTGGTTTCAGTGGTAAAAAGCCCCTAAACTGCCTCCCCTACCCCTTTCTATATTCATTAACCCTTTCACCACTGTAGACCATAATGGACTCATCCAGATGAATATATGGTAGAGTCTACTCAAGTTACCTAGGGATGAAAGAGTTAATTTCTGGTATAGCCATAATGAAGACTGTGTTTGTATCAATGACTTACCATCCTTATACCTGCTGAAGAGGATAGACTGCGCCTGGAGTATTAATACTATGTTCTGGGGGTCAGGACCGTCCTTCAACCTCGACTTACTGCACAGGAACTCGTACGCTTTGTTCACTTGCTCAAACATTTCCTACATTAGACATTGAAATATCTTTATAATATACGCACCATAAATCAATTTCAAAGTGCTTCTGACAAATTCATTTTTAAAAGATTTTTTCTGACTTGATAAAATAGTTAGACATGCACTGTAACTCACCCGTCCATCTGGGTTTTTGTCAGGATGATATTTCTGAGCCAGTTTGAAGTATGCTTTTCTGATTGTGGACTCTTCATGTCTGAAATGTATGAAAAAAAAAATAATCTTGAAACAAAAGAGTGAGAAGACAGCTAGGTTTTACAAACAGCACTGACAAGCAGACTAATACCTCTCAATATTTGTTATAGAAAATGTTCATCAAGTAATTAAATGCTAGTTTTTACCTGGATTTTTCATTTGAAGAACTGTAAGTAGTATATACCTTTTACTCGACGTGTACGTTTGCAGAATTACTTTTAAAGTTGCCAACATCCGGGGGTTGAGATTCCTAATCTTACTTCAATGGGGTGAATGATTCTTTTTTCTCTTACCCAGTTCACCTATTGTGTACCATAATACATAATGTAATGTTAACGTTACAGGCTAAATTCAGGGTTGACATGATGTTGATGCATTGTTGATGTGACGTCATACAATAGTTATGAATATATGACCCCCCCCCCCATCTCAAGCCTAGGGTGAGACAAGGATATCTTGCACCGAGATAAGTGCTGATATTTTTGTTCAGAATAGAGAAAATAGCTACTTACCCGCCACTGCCTTTCTTGAGGTTGAGGACATTGAAAGCCTCGTCCAGTGACATGCTGGGAGGCTTCTTCTCCACCTCCTTCTTCCACGCCTCTAAGATGTCCTTCAGTAGTTTCACCTACAACACACAAGGTCAAGGTCATGGCACGGAGCAAATATCAAGTCAAAGTCAAGGTCAATACACATTGCCAAGGTCAATACACATAGCTTATGTCAAAAGCCAAGGTCAACATCAATACACATTGCCAAGTTCAATACACATAGCAAATGTCAAAAGGTCAACTTTAATACACATTGCCAAGGTTAATACACATAGCAAATGTCAAAAGCCAAGGTCAACATTAATACACATTGTCCAGGTCAATACACATTGCCAAGGTCAATACACATAGCAAATGTCAAAAGACAAGGTCAACATCAATACATATTGCCAAGGTCAATACACATAGCAAATGTCAAAAGCCAAGGTCAACATTAATACACAAGGTCAATACACATTTTTAAGGTCAAAGCACAATCTCTGTAAACACTGTTCTTATTTCTACATATTCTTCATACTAAAACACTACTTCCTGTATAGCACTAAAGATAAAAATATGTTGGGTTTTTTAAACATGTAATCAAGGAAGGAATTACCGTCATCTAATTGCAATTTGTCTGATGCACATTTGTTCATCAATAGCCGAAATTGCTTATATATCAATGCTTTAACTAGTCAAGCGATTCAAAGCAATAGACACAACGAAGGTCATGACCTTGTCAATGTCAAAATAACACCTTATTATCCAGATAAGACATTATAATATATAGAGTCATAATTTTCAGGTTTTATTTGGTAATTTCATTGTTTTTTTCGCAGTTTGTTGGATTAGGCAAGATGTCTGAATACTAAGGGGTCAGATCACACATGTTTCACAGTAACAATACTTTCTAAGGACTTATCATATACTTACCGGGTCTTTGATTGGCCAGTCAGGGAAGCGTGTCGTATCACATAGGTGTTTGAGATAGTAGATGTTACAGAAGAGTTCGTTCTCTAACTGTGGGAAGCTGACTAGAGGTATAGGACAGTACTGATACAGAGACCGAGTGTTACTCTGTAGGCGTGGCGAGAAGTCGGCCAGGTGGGAAGCTATCTTCTCAATCATCAGTCGCCTGCAATTAAAATATCGATAAATGATAAAAGAAATCAATTAACTGCAAATAATTTCTAGACAAGCTTACTACATTGTTAAGATATCTTAATTTTCCTCTTTCTAATTAAAACAAATATTACTGTTTATGAAAAATATTGAAAATAAAGAATTTCTCTTTTGTAAAATATATTTGAATATAAATGTGAACTTTACTCTATCCTCAATTTTACAATTATAAGATCCAATTGAAAAATATTGAAAATTTAAACTTTGAATCTTTAAAAACAGTACCATAATTGGAATAGAATCAAAATCACACAATAGGATTTATATAAGGGAGTGTTGAGCTATTTTTGCAGTGTTGAGTGTACCCCATACCTCATTTCACTGTTCCAGATTGCTTCAGGTGTGTCAAATTCTCCAAGGAATATTTTGGCAAATTTGTCTGGTGAGTAATTTTCGAGGTAGCATACCATTGCTTCTGGCAGTATGTGACCCAACACACTCCGCATCATAATTTCCGAGCTTGAAAACTGAATGTAGACAACAATGCAATAATTTAATATCAATATACATCATATAATTAAGGGTCTAGAGAGAAAACCAATAAAATTGAATCAAGTATCTCTTAGTTCACTTGCCTACCAGTTCTGTGTGAATTCAAACAATCTACAACGCATGCCAACTTGTGTTGTCAGTCTACAAATTATGCTAGCTGGAGTTGTCGAAAGGTCTTCAACTCATGCCATCTGGAGTTGTCAAAATGGCTAAATCTCAAATTAGAGTAGCAATTTAAAAAGATTTACACCTCACATCCAGCTTGGGTTGTTGAACAAGTCTGACTAGGGTTGTCAAATGGTCTTAAACTCATGCTACTTGGGCTGTCCAAAGTCCAGACCTTATGGTTGACCACACTAATAAAAACTCTTTGTTTAAAATAATTTCACTAAATTATAAATAATATGTAGACAATTTGGAAATACCAAATATTCCAAATACCAAATATCTATTCTTCTCAACTTGATGGAGGAAATGGGCCCATCCCCTTATAACCTCATCATAACAAAAGGCCTATACATATATCATTAGAGCTGAAGGCCTAGACTTACATCATTAGAGCTGAAGGCCTAGACTTATATCATTAGACCTGAAGGCCTAGACATGTCATCAGAGCCGCAGGCCTAAACCTATATTATTAGTGCCACAGGCCTAGACTTACATCAGTAGAGCTGAAGGCCTAGACATATGTCATCAGAGCTGCAGGCCTAAACCTATATTATTAATGCCACAGGCCTAGATTTACAACAGTAGTGCCACAGGCCTAGACTTACACCAGCAGAGCTGAAGGCCTAGACATATGTCATCAGAGCCGCAGGCCTAAACCTATATCATTCGAGCCACAGGCCTAGACTTACATCAGTAGTGCCACAGGCCTAGATTTACATCATTAGAGCCTAAAGCATAGACTTATATCAGTAGTGCCACAGGCCTAGACTTACATCAGTAGAGCTGAAGGCCTAGACATATGTCATCAGAGCTGCAGGCCTAAACCTATATTTTTAGTGCCACGGGCCTAGACTTACATCAGTAGTGCCACAGGCCTAGACTTACATCAGTAGAGCTGAAGGCCTAGACATATGGTCTTGGCTGATGGTCTTGACTAACGTCTTCAGAGCCGTAAGACTGATATGTACTCACCTCGTCGGAGCAGAAGGCCTATACTTATGTCAGCACAGCCGTAGGACTGATATGTACTCACCTCGTCGGAGCGGTAGGCCTATACTTATGTCAGCACAGCCGTAAGACTGATATGTACTCACCTCGTCGGAGCGGAAGGCCTGAGTTAGGTGGGTGGATTTGAGGAATCGTGCTACAGGCAGTACATTTGAGCCAGTGTACATGAGGATGAAGAAGAAAACTCCCGTAAGGTATAACCGTGATATGTTGGGGTTGTCCTGCATGATACTGTAAAGGAGTACCGCAACCTTCTCCACCAGAATAGGGTCAAAGGTCAACAACAGCTGAAAAGTAAGAAGAGACAGGTAAATTTCATGGAGAGTTTGGCTCCTAATTTCTCAAATATCTATCATGAAGTGAATTAAAGATATCCTTTTTGAATATCTTAGGATTTAAGCACCTACTAACGATACTTTAAAAGTAGACCTGGTAATTAATATAAGTTGCTTCCAAAAGCATAAAGTTCTCTTGTTATACAACCATCCAGTAAATTTCAATATAAGTAGGTCTTGCTTATGTAATATTGTGCAAGTATTTCCATGCCATACAGAATCAGATAAACATTAAACTGCTCTATTCAACCTACTGACATATACAATATACAGAGGGATACAATTTGATGATAGGCGACATTTTTCTGCGTACCTGGACTATGTGAGGGAGGCAGACAGCATCTGACAGGATGCGTTTGATTTTTGGCAGTGGTCGCACTATTGCACCTTCAGAATCTCTGTAAAAAAAAAATCAAAACATATTAAACTATTTCTGCAATTAACTTTTCTATATATATACTCAATTATTTTGGCAATTGTTATTTGTCATAAGTCAATAAAGATGTATTACATGTTTAGACAAAATCTCACACTCCACTTAAGAGGTTGAACAAGAGGCCATGCTATCTGTATATTGGAGGTATTGGACTCTATATTATCTTGTGAGTACCACTTTCACTTAACAATTATAAATAAATCCACATAGGGCATCCTAATTGTGGGGTGGCAGCATTTATGTTGCAGGATTCAAATGAGCTAAAATAATTTAGTCTGTTTCAAATGTCTCTGACAAGAGCCGTTAAATGCTGAATATGTTTTTATATATTGTCTTAGTAAAAATAATATCCAAATTTAATGCTTTATGCTCACATAAACATCTACAGGAAACGGATATAGCATTTTCTTGGCCGTATTGTTTAGGTATACTTAGTAATCAGGGGAAAAGAAACTGTTTTGATGGCCTCACTGACTAGGGCACTGATAACACAATAGGATCAAGTAACAAATAAAGTCTTTACTTGGCCTAACTTAGGTGCTAGCTCGGGTGAGGACCATATTTAACATAAAATTAAGTAACAAATAAAGTGTTTTCTTGGCCTGACTCACTGACTAGGGCACTGACCATTCCAAAGAATTAAGAAACAAAATATAGTGTTTTTTGGCCTGACTCACCAACTACTGCACTGACCAAAGCATAGAATCAAGAAACAAATGGTGTTTTCTTGGCCCGACTCATCAAATAGCTAGAGCACTTACCATACCGTAGAATCGAAAAAAAATATAGTATCTACGTGGTCTTACTCACCGACTAGGGTAATAATCACTCATCTTGACAAACATGTTGAGAATGAGACAGGCCAGGTCACTCTCGTTCATTACTGCTTGACCACTGGCCAGTAAAGTCCATTTAAGTTGAGGAACAGATTGTAGAGGGCGCCAGCCGTCCATGCCTTGCGCCCAACATCTCGTTTTTGCATGTACAGTTCCTTCCTCATATAACGTTTTCATCTACAAAACGAACCATATCTTCAAAATCGTAAACATTTGTCAAGGAAAATGTAAAATGAAAGAATAAAACAATTAAAACTGACAGTGCAAGTTACAAATCTTTCAAATGAGATCAAAAATAAATCAGCGTCCAATCACCAGAACGCTTTTGACAATTCCACACAGAAATATCTTATCTGTTTCACAATGCTGCCCATCCTGCTGGGAGCAAAATAATGAAGGCTCAACTGTATTCATGTCTGATAAAAAGAAATCTAACAAAAGTTCACACAACTTACCTCCACTGCACTGTAGGGCCCGAGTCTCTCTTTGTCCTTGTTACCGTAGTACCACTCTTTTTCACTCTCTCGATTCATATCGGGCGAGGCTTCTATCACATTCGTCTACAAAATCAAAATGCTTAGTAATGAACCCCGAACAGCTTCAAAATTAACTATACGCAATAAAATCATTGAATAGATATTTCCAGGGTTGAATATTCTTAAATATGCAAGAACCAACAATAAAAATGTTTGAAGCCTGGCTGGATAAGCATTGGGGACAACCAGAATGTTTTAAAAATCATGAACTTGACAATAATGAACTTATCCACTGTCAGGGCATCTGTCTAGAGGCTGACCATACAAATGATCTGGATATAAAGGGTTTTGCCTTCGTCCAGTATTATTATATCATATTATTATTAATTAATGGGCAGACAGCAGAAAGTGGAAAAAAATACTGCAGACAAAGAAGTGTTTAACAATGGTGAAACATAATGGGGTTTACACAAATAACAATAGTATCAAAAGTCAAAATTGGTTGAAAACATCACCCCCACCGTCTGACGGCAAAATTCAGCTTCAACCAAATCTCTTTAGATTTTGACATGACAAGGTGACAGTGACCTACTTGTAAGGGTACAGTGGCCCGAGTGGTATGTAGATGGGCTAGTGTCAACAGGTCCACCATTATCTTCACACCGTTAGCATCCAATATGTCTTTCACATTCCGCTAAAGACATCAAGACAAAAATTCCATTTTCATATCTAACAATGAAAGTGAAGGTTTCACAGTAAAAATATCAAAGATTTCATTCATTTGATAAAGCATACCAGGCATGCATCATGGATAAAATCATTTCAGACATTTAACATTCAATATTCAAGACTGTTTTGAACATGCATTTACTTTTACTTTTGAAAATTGATGGACAAATCTGAAATCTACGTAAATTTGAAAGTAAACACTTTTATATAATTATCTAAAATATTTTATGTCAAAACATAGGATTTATTAAAACTGAAATTGCAAACAATGGAATTTTACAAGAGAGTTTTTTAATTTCTTTCATTAATACCTTAAATGTACCAAGCAAAGTATTTTTGGTAATAGTCTACACTTACAGGGTGCAAGATGAGTTTGTTGAGAAACAAAATCAGTCGGTCTCTCTCCAATTTGTCTGTACACTGCAAGACAAAACACAAGTTTAAGCATTCAAATAACACTTACAGGTCAGCAAGGGCCCCACCATATGTATGACTGACAACCCCCTCTAGTCTATTTTTAACAGTAACCTTTAGCTTGACCTTAAAACCTCTTCACTATAAATGATATTAGTTATTTTGTTTTGATGTCTACTATAAGTTTCCGTTTTGTCTTCTCTTTTGTGTGTGTTGACTTTGGGAGGAATTTGTTTTGAATACATACTGGCACTATAGTATATATTGTGTTGAAACTGTGGTAAAATTTTTCTTTTTCGTTTAAACACAACTCCTACGTGTTAAGTGATAACTTACACGCTCCAGCATGCCGACGATGTAGCGTGTGTCGTTGAATGCGCCAATTTCCTCGTGACACTTGCTGTAGACAATTGTCATAGCCTGTAGACACATACACTTCATGGCTATCTTGGGCGTCAGCAGAAAACGGTGGTACAGGTCGTTGAAGAACTCGTACCTAGAAAACAATATTTGCAAAACTGTTTTCTTCAATCAGTAAAAAATGAAATCAACTGCTCCAGGGACCAGCCCTATTAATCAATCCTCTCTCTTAAGAGATCATCATTTTCTCATCGCCAGAAAGCATTGTTATAATTTAATACTCTATTGAAAGACCACCTCTTTTAATATAGAATGATGTGACTGTTTTCAAAATTTATTTCTTGTCAATTTTGAAAATATTTACAATATTTTTTCTCAACACAAGAGTGACAAGACTCAACATTATCATTTTTTCCCCTTAATATCTCTTTAACAGATTTCTTCTTCATTTAATTAAACTCAATCTCAATGTAATTGTAGTGAAAATACAGTACATTGTATAATGTATCACAAGAACAGGTCAGTTTCTAGAAAACAGAACAGAGACTAAAGGACTCTCCACGTTCAACACACCTTGCTAGTTGTATTCACGATTGTTCATTTTAAAATGGCAAAAGCACTTAATCCAGTTGAAAATGAATATTCCCACAAAATTTATTACAAAATAACAAGGGTAAGGAAAACCAAGCAGTTTGGATACATGAGCATGTTCATTGAACAATTGGTTTTATTACACAATAGTCTATATAAATTACAATTAGTAATTTTTGACTGTTTCTGGCTTTTTGTCCAATTTCGGCTGTAGGGGTGAAACAGTCAAAACTGTTTTCCCGGTCAGAGCGAACTGTTACCCAGCGCAAATTTTATGCGCAGAAATCACCCTTTGAGAGCCCCGTTCAAGCGTTTATTTGACCTCAGCATTGATACTAAAATATCTATTTGGTAATAAAACAATTGTTTCAATGCTATTAGGGAAACAGTCAATACTACCATCCCTCGGTAGGGGGAAGCCCTGTGGAACTGTTTTCCCTCGGCCTCGGGCAAACAGTTCCCCAGGTTTCCCCCTACCTTGGGATGATAGTTTTGACTGTTCCCCAAATAGCCATGAAACAATTCTATACTGTTGATAAGATATAAATAAATCTCTTCCTGTTTCCATTCACTGTTTCCATAACTTCAGTAACTTGGAGAATTCCACTACACTTACGACTTTTTGATGGCACTGGTTTCTTCTGACTCGTTTTCTCCCTCCTCCAACAGAAGTCGCAGATAATAGTCACCTGTCACGTACACAAACGACATCAGTAAATTAGCAGCTTATAATAAACTGAAACAATATACGTTTTATAAATACTGCTGCAAATATAGAATGTCCGAGCTGACCTCTGTAAGCTTGGTTATTCATTGTGATTCTTCCAAAAGGTGATCTGTGGCTGTGTGTAACAAAACCTGTAGTCTTAGTACACTTTGTCAAGCCACTTTAGAGGAGGTGTTTTATGTACTGCTAGTCTGAGTGTAGATAACACTTGACACTGCAGACATATTTCATAGTTATCATACATACATATAATATTTTAGTATTTTCATAACAATAGGGTAAAAAAAAAATCTATTGATATTGCCCCTAATTTTTGTTCATGAAAATATCATATTTCAAAAAAGTATATATTTATATTAAGTAAATATCTCTGATGAACCACAAAAACTTCGACATTTTTACATTAGTATGGTACGTTACAACATTGCCCCTGTTCTGCTGTACATACTTTAATACATATTCATGCAATGTTAGTTTTGCACTTAACACTTAACTGCTTAATTGATCATGTTGTAAACAATTAATTCCTGTAATGATAAATTTGCCTTTATTAAAAAGACTGGGAGTGTAAAAGGCAAAAACTGAACTGTGGCAAAAATATCCCAGTATTTTGGTATGCTGGTATCATACTGATTACCTCCAAACTCAAATAGGACTTTGTTATAATATAAGCATGCATTTGGAGTTTTTTGTAAATATTATATTTAATGTACCTATTTTGATCTCGTCTGACAGACAGATATAGGGTACTTCAAACTCTTGATGGTTCCATCCGACGATACAGTTGGAGCCAAGCTCCTTGTCGACTGTGAAAGCACGAATCTCGTTCTCTAGGGCTTCCCTCAGTTCTTCCCGTGTCTAAGTTTGAAAAGACAAAAGCAATATTGCGTTTCACATAAACCAACAGACAAAATGATACATTGTACTTAAAAGAAGAGATAATGATCAGACAACATCAAATGAGGAGTCTCGGCAAATTTAATGCAGTTTACATATTTCAGCCCACAAGGTGGGTTCTGGTGACGGCCAACCTAATGTGGCAGAAACATGTAAACTTGATTCTTTGCCAAGACTCCCCATTTGATGTTTTGTCTGGTCATCTCTCTTTTGAATTTCTATTACGCTTATGGCCGAACTAGTGAATTCCATTTAGGAACCCACCAACTGGGCACCGCAGACCTTCACTGGACATTCAATAGGTGTAGGAGATGTTGGATCTCAGTTTCCCTTGTAAATTGTACGCAAGTGCAGGTTAATATTGTAGACAAGACATTATATAATAGTTCAGAAGACATAACATGTCTCTTTTTTTGCTTCTTGTATCTTCATCCATTTTATTGTTGGTAACCGAGGTATTCATAGGACATTGAGAGACGTTTCTATTTTCAATTTTTTTGGAGGGGGGTGGGGTGGTCTTTTTTTAAATGAACCTTATAATTTAGAATTTTTCAGGGGTTAACACACAAGTAATTGTTATAAAAGTTTTGAGGACAAGACCTTAAATTCAGGCATTGATTTATGTCAGTTTGATCACTAGTGCTACAGAAATTGTGCCATGTGGAACTTGTCTAACTTACCTTGTAGTTCCAGATGAGGTTAGGTTTGGCATGGTCTTTGTTGAAGCCATAATAAAACAATGGCCAGTTCGCCTCGCTCTTGATGCGCTGTCGCCGCTTTCTTAAGGTGACTGGCTTCAGGTCATTTTGCTGCAACAGAATAACAATGATGAAACTTGGTTGGAACTATCATCATGTGATTGCAGTTTAATCGTATGAAAATTAAGACTCTGACTCACCGCCAGGGCCTGAGGGTTGGGGCCAGAAGGTGTCAAATTAGCTACAATTTCAATTATTTGAACATTTAAACAGTTAAATATCTATTTCAATGATACTTTTCATTCAAAATAATATTTATTGAACTATCAGATTCTTTGAGACATCCATCACAAGACTTACTTTTGACCTATATTTTCATAAAATGTTAAGGAAGAAGTTACAACATAACTACCCATCTCAAAATAAAATACATTTAATTGAGTCAAGTGGTAACCAAAATACCTGTTTTGTTTTTTCCAGTCCAATCCTTGACCGCCAATGCTGAAGAAAGCCATCAATCTTCATCTCCAGCAGCAGCAGCTGGGGGTTCTTCTTGTTTTTCTTCTGGATTTCCTAGAGCAAACAATTTCTAAACGTTGACAAATCCATAACCAGACTTGTGATTTGGATTGAAGTTTTATGTAGCCCCTTTGACACAATACAGCAATTGAGTTAAAAACACCAACCATTTTAATGAAAGGTACCTGGTAATAAGGAAAATTACGAACTACAAGCAAGGACTTATCACCGGTTAAAAACACTGAGAAATTGGGTACAACAGTAAATGTGTGTGTGTGTCCGTCAAATAAAGACTGGAAAAATAAGATGCTGACAGGAGTAGGGCAGATACAGGTCCTAAGCTATTAATAGTTTTCTCTTGTGACCAGAGTAAGAATCAGTTATAATGATCTCTTAAAACACTTTCACATATCCGTTTCAACCAGCTGAACCTGCAAAGAAAATGACAGGCTCAGACCTGAACAGAGGCTGACCTCATGAATATTTGGCACACACATATATTGAGGGGTCCAGGCGCGTCCGACAGAAGTTAAAACGCTGACTATTTGTAGATTACATTTAATTTAATTCTTTGTGAAATAAGGTTGATTCATATATGTTCTAGGATACGGTATATAATGAAATGGACGCTTAAAAGAAGGACATATTATTCTGCATATATTGTTATTTATTTGTCACAAAACTCGGAAACTGTGTTTTTTTAGCTCTGCCTACAGTTCAGTTCAAATGCCTTGGTTTATTGCGGAATATATCTGCACCACCTGAACTGTGTCAACCAGGATAGAAAATGATACGCAGTTGTTCAAATCCTGATTAATAACTCGACGACAACTTAATGCAAAATTTTCTTCTGACAGAAAGCACAAAAATATTTTGTTATTTTCCAGATAAAATGTTTTGGATCAACAGGCTCAACACTGCTTTCCCCAATGGTATCAATACCAGGTGATGATGATGATGACATCACAATTTGAGAGGTTGTGTTTTTATGACGTCATTGTGTTGTGTTGATGTCATGGGAACAATGTTATGACATCATCAATGTCATATTTACTCATCCTGTTTGTCAAGATGAATGTGACATAGAGGTCCGGTGACATTTATACCCCCACGAAGGGCTAAGCCAGAAAGCTTGGAAAAAAAGTAACTTTTTAGTTTGCTAGTATTATTGTGTTATCTATAGGAACATGTGTTTATAGACAATTAATTTGTCAGATAGTTTTCAAAAAACAACATTTTGAAAGTTTGTGTTAACAACTCCTATAAGCTAATCAAGGCATTTAACAATTGAGTCAACAGCAGAAATGTAGAACCATTTGTCCCCTTTTAACCACAGCAAACATGTATCATAAAACAAATTAACTTTTGTATACAACCCCTCAAAATCGTCACCTTGGCCATTTTAAGTCATTGAATAAAACATTTGCATATGACCCCTCATACTCCTCACCTGAGCCATTTTGACATTGTCCCTGATGTTGATTCTGTCCTCCTCAGATGTGGGTACATCTGCTTCTGAGTCTAAAAATAGCAACAGGCCACCTGGCTGCAAGTTAAAATTTTAAACATTATCAGCATATCCTTGGAAAATTTCCTGACCATGAGGGGTATAATTAATAGAATCTCCCCCTACCTCGAGGGTGTGACAGAGAAATCGCCAACCCGAGGGGTGATGTTTTTCGGTTGTCTAACACGAGGCTCTGCCGAGGGTTAGACAACCAAAAAAATCACCCTGAGGGTCACACCCTCAAGGTAGGGGATGATTATTTTTCTCCCATCCTATTTTTTCAGTCACAGCTCCATCGACACTAGTCTGCCATGTTTGTAAACAAAAAAACATGTGATGTATGCATATCGTCAATCACTTTTGATGACGTCAAAATTACTGATGACGCATTTTAATGACGTCACAATTTAACATGTGCTAATCGGCACGAGGCTATCTCTCACTAGCGGGTGACAAGCTGATCTTTCCCGGCTAAAATGGGAGACACGCCTGTGAAGGGTGAGAGATAAAGAAATCTCAATTCTAAGAGTTTGATTCTTAAATAGCCAAACCTAAGGCTTGCTGAGGGTTTTAAAAATAAACAAGAGGCCCATGGGCCTTAACGGTCACCTGATATATTTATACAGAGAGTTGATTTTGTTTTTAACATGAACAGAAATATTATTCAAAGTGACAAAAAACAATAAAACCACCTTACTCAATATCTAGCATACAGATTTCAGACTAAAAAGGATTTGAAACTAGCACCTCTGATTCTTAACAAGGAAAATGAAGAAATTTTAGCACACTGACTCCTTTGAGCCCCACCCTACAGCCCTTGGGGGTAGGGCTGGCTCAAAATTTTCAAAGTATCAAACTGTCAATTCAAGGTTATAATTCCAATCAAGTTATTAACATGTA